TTTTTTTTTTTTTTTTTTTTTTTCAAACCGATCAAACGGAATAACAAATTTTTGTGTATTTTATTTTTCCACCCCTTCGTACAAATCAAAGTTTGCATATATTAACGCGTAACATTTGGAAGTAATTTTTTGGTATGGAATAATAAATCCGCCCATTTGTTTAACATCGATAATCTATGAATATGTATTTTTTTTTGTTACGCGCAAATATTATTACAAAATTTTATTTGACTTTATTTTTGTCTCTGTTATATTATATCGAATAATTTAGAATAAATACATAATATCGATTAACATCGACATAAGAATAACATAACGCGAATCATTTAATTATCGTTAAAACTAGTATTGTTAATTTTTACGTACAGGCGACGTGACGTATGTATATTTTGAAAGTACAGAGGTCTGATAATAATTTCATGGAACATTTTATACGGAAATATTAACAACGTTCGAGATTAAACGATACAACAGCAACAAATATATACATATATATTATTCTCCAAGAGATTACGTTGGACCTTTGTTATCGAAAACTCGGTGCCGAAACCACGATGAATGTTAGCCCGTTAGAATACTTGATTGCTGTGGTGTTTTTAAATTATTATAAGGAATATTACGATAAAAAATAAATGATGATGATGATAATCAGTAGAAGGACATTTTTATCGTAATATTTATATCGTTTTATTCAATCTTTCTTGTGTGATATTATTAAAAAAAAAAAAATAAATAAAAAAATTTTATATATAAATATTTCACCACTGCGACAAGTATGTATAATATTCAGAGTACGTATGTACATACAGTTTAAGTTAACACACATGAGTGTATAGAGAACAAAGGCCTGATATCTGTTGTATGAGTAAGTAGTAACGTACTTCGTTCTATGTGCCGCATTTCTTTCTCTTTCTATTTCTTCATATACATATATACATATATACAAATATACATACGCATACAAATTTCTAGTGATTTTAATAAATGCATTAATAACTGTAATTATAATGG